TGCAATTGCTCTCAGGCTCCAGTCCTTAGGCTATGGCTCTCAGGCTCTCTGGCTCTGACTCTCACTGCTCAGCACCTGGTTTGTGCACTGTCAGTGAGTGGCGAGCAACTGTATCAGAATTGTATCATATTGTATCATATGTTTTATTTTCTATTATTTTAATTACTTAGTAGTAGTAGTACTTGTATATATTAATTTAGATTCATTTAGTAAATAGTTCTTATCTCAATTTTACGAGCTTCCTTGTCATTTTCCCTCTGATTCTCCCTCTCCACCGAAGGAGGGGAGGGAGAATCTGTGAGAGCGGCTTCATGGTACTTTGCTAGCCGGAGTTAAACCATGACACTGGTATGAAATAGACTTCATTAAAACTTCTGTATTGTATAAAGGAATAGTATTTTATAATTAAACTATTTTACACATCCACCCAAATGAGAAATTAAGTATAAAACAATGCAAACCTAGCAGAGCTGCTTTAACAGTTGTCTTTTAACTGGCTTCTGGATATGATTCTTCCATCTGTCTGTCCAGTAGTAATGAGACAATTGGCCGTTTACTTCTCAGACTAACAGCCCAAAAGCTTCCCCAAAAGCAGCAAAGAAGTGGGCTATATAAAGCAATCTACACCCCCAATGGTACAGAAAAATAGGAGAGGAGGAATAAGAGAAGATTCTATGAAACAGTCTTGCATATGTGTTTTGTATCTCATTCCCACTGTCCGCATCTCATTCCCACTGTCCGTGTATAACTTCAGTTGTTACAAACTATGAACTACTTTACCATTAAAGAAAGGGTGCTAACCTTGCTTTCATCTAACATAACCTTGTGCAATTTCTCAAATCAATTTATTTGGAACTCGTATCACCTCCTCCTAAGAGAAGTCAGTTTTACTAATAAATCTTACCTGCCTTAGGATCACCGGAACACACAGTTTTGAGACACTGTGATCAGGATTAAAGGTTCAATAGCAGCACAAGTTACAATAATCAAAGTCAATAAATATTAAACTACAAGCAAACACAGAATTTAAAGTTCAAAGAAAAAGCCCGTGTTCATGTGAACAATGAAGCATAAATGGCTTTTTCAAGAAATGAATACCAACACTTAGAAAAAACAGAGAAACTAGATTTAAATCTTTGAAAAAAGCACAGATTGACAAGCAGCTAGTATGAGTGTGGGTCTGAAGAGTGATGCCACATCCATGTTTGGATAATAATCAACAGCGTAAATTCTCAGCTCCAATCAGGCAGAGAGATTTCAGAAATGAAGATATGGCAATAATTTGCACCCCCAACTTCACATTTGAGCTTATCCCCATTTTAAATAATGTTTTGAAGATTCTGCACATAAAAATGCAGTAACTATGTCTCAATTTGACTAGACATATGCATATATTAATATTGTATTTAGAAAAAACTCCACTTATACACAATAGTATACAGAATGAACATGAAAAATGCATTTGCTCAGATTAACTAGACATCTCCAGAGATCACAACATACAATTTTAAAGGGAAACATTCAAATAGTTCAAGAACAATCATTGCTATTTTCTTTAAACTGACAATAGAGAACATGACCAAATTCTGAAATCTTATTCTGCATGGTAGTTTCAACTATAACTGCAAATCTAATTTCCATTACTGCATAACACTAACATCACTGGAAGTGGAACTCCTTCACAAGTGTCATAATGCTTCAGACAGAACAAAAAGGGAGTAAACCTCCAGAATTATTGTGTGAGATGATGCGGAAGTAAACAAAACAGACCTTCACCTCACCCCTTTTAAGTAACAATGCTGATCAAAAACAGCATCTGAGAATTCAATTATAAAATTCATCCAAGAGCCCAGTCATCTGGCACATATTAGATCTATTTTTTTCCAATTATGAAGTAAGAACAAATTACACAGTCATATAATGAAAATGAAATCTGTTAATCTACAACGTATATTGCAATATGTTTGCCCTGATTCACATCCCTGGAACTCACTAACAGCCTATAATAACCTTCAAAATCCTTGGGGTATCCCAATACATCAGTTGAGACTTAAGCTACACAAGACTAAAGGTTTTTTCCTTTAAGTTAGCTCAAAAAAAATTATAGTTGCTTATTTCAAAACAAAGTATATTGCAGACAATGACAAGACAAACTCTCTAAACTATTTTTCTTTATTTCACAGACACTTGAGGATTCCTCAATGGTTTCAATTTTTCTTATCCTTTGTCTCAGTATCAAGAACTCCCTATCAAAGAAGAATAGCAAGGAATGACTTGCAACCTAAAACCAGCGTGTGGACAGGATTCTCAGAAGTAATAATTTCTGGAATTACTCAGCAACCATAAACTGCAATAACTGCATACAGTAAGAATACAGCGAGTTCACTCAAAGTTCCTCATGTGCTGTACATGCACCACTTGTCATCTCCTAGAAGACTCGAAACCTGAGAAAGTCTCATCACTAAGTTGTGAGAGTATACAAAAAAAAATTATCAAAATGCAAGGGTATAAACAAAGTGAATATGAATTTCTGCCAGGACACAGACTCTAGTCTTTGAAAACTGTTATAAAAAACTCACTCAAGTTTTCATCCTTGGGTTTAAGTCTATGAGAGTAAAATCCATGAACAAACTCAACAGAATGCTCATGGCCCACTCTGAAATCAAGACAGAAAAAAAAAATACCACCATACACCATAAACATAATCTTCCTCATTAAACTTGCTTTTCTTGGTCTCCCATCCAAGTACTACGCAAGCCGCAGAACTACAAAGAGGTGACCACTCACCGTACTGTTTATACATCTACTGCACAAGCGCATAATAAATCCCAATTACAAAGTTCAATATGAAGAGGTTCTCAACACACTATTTTTCACACTGTATTTCACTGCAAAAGGAAAAAAACAATGATAAACTGGAAATTTCGATCAGAGAGATAAATCTCTCTCACAGGCCATATTGCTGCTGGCACTAAAATTCACCAGAACCATAGTCCCATTCCCAAGATCTTCTCTCAAAACTTCTCAGGAGCAAGCTGCAGGATGGCTAACTCTTCTGGAAGAGACAATTTTCCTGGCTCTTGATCTCAGCTGGGGCCTCATGACTGTTTTACAAGAGCAGTGATGGCTGAAATCAAGTTGCTGTCACAAGGCAGTTAGCTACTAACAATTAATTCTTCCCCAAGGAATACACAGGCAAGTTATCAAAGAGCAGCTTCATGAACTGGTCTACTGGCAGAAAATCAGTCACCCTCTTGTGTATGCGCTGTCCAGACCCTTGTTGGCAGCAGGCAGGAAGTGCATGCATGACTCTACAACACGTGTGCAGCAAGACCTGTGCTTCCCCAGACTGCCATACTTCCTGAGCACGGGACAGTCAGTCCAGTCACCTGACAGAAGGGGTACTCAACATTAACTTTTTCATTTTTGAAAGACCCTTTGAGAAAAATCAATAGTTTTGCCAAAAACAGTAAAATGGTGAACAGAGATGATTTCCTATCTTTAGTCAAATCCTGAAACAATAATGTGGTGTCTCATCTTGCTAGCTGTGGAATAAACCTTTAAATTTAATTAAGCAAAATGGCATTTGTTCATACTATTTAAGGAAAAGATCTGGATATATCAGTGCAAATAAAACACATTTCCATTTTTAAGCAGACAGCTGAAAACAAATCAAAACTGGGCTGTGAACTGGTGATGTGCATGCTTCAAACTTTCCTTTACCTCCTGAAGTTCTTCTACGCCAGCTTTGGAAAAGTGGTATATATTTCCTTCCTTTTAAGAAAAAAGACTCCTTCAGTAAAGTAATGGTGTATTATGTTACGTCAATATACACAACTGAATCCAAAGAAACTGATAAAGACATCAAAAAGGAAACGAGCAGCCTAGACAGAGAACATCCATACCCTCAGCTGTGAACCTCATTACTGCATTTATGAGGAACGATTCCTCAGTGCTGTATCCGGTGACAATCTAGTCTGCCATTGATGAGACGATGAGAGACACCACAGGAGAGAAGCTGCTACCGGTTTCAGTCTGACAAGGGGTAGGCAGCAGCTTCAGCTGAATCCCCAAAGGAATTCAAGACAGCAAAGGTTACAGTGAAGGCCAAGTTCACAGGAGTGCCTTATTTTAAAGCATGTTCTTCAAGCACTGTGTGCTCCTTTTGGTAAAATCAATCCTACTTTACTCTGAAGGATGTACTTCTCTGCCATTTCATTGCTGCTACTCTTCTTGTACATGCCTGACAGAAAACCCCTATTGGACCTAAAAGACATTTTGCTTGGGACCAACAGAAAGTAAATTGGAGAGGTAAGACAAAAAGTGGTTGGGTTATAGTTTCACCCAAAAGGATCAACTACAGAAAGGGTGCACAAGGACAGGAAGATCTGCTGCCTCCTCAAGTTCTGCACAATGATTTCAATCAGATTTCTTAACACAATGTAGAGTAGCTCTTGCCAATTCAACATGAGAAATTAATTAGCAGCAGAGGCTTGAAGCTCGTTGAACACACACACAAAAATGTAGATATGAATAATACACTTTGCAACAAACATATTGATAGCCAGTGGAAAAATATTACTAGGTTTGGTTTTGAATCTTAAATTTTAAGTCTCAAACCGTTTTAGTTCAGAAATTAGAAGGGTGGGTGGGAAGAGAAGGAGGGAAGAAGACAAAAACAAGCAAGCAAGTGCACGTCCAAAGACAATTTTCTGTTTTGGACTGGTAAAGAAAAACTTGTCTGTCATGAAAAGAACTAGTGATCTAAATCACATTGTAGATGAAAAACGGTCATTGATCACAACATTACAAACATGCCCATCATCATATTCAGTGATTTTAAGTAACTGTTCAGACTCTTTTAAAAAGAAAAAAAAGCTTACCTCAGTTGTTTTGCATAGTTTTGCTCAATTTCTATCCTTTCTTTTACAAATTTCGCGTATTTCTCCAAGAAGTCAATGCCCCACTGTGTATGCTTGTCCAAGTTATCAAACTGATCCTTTAAAAACAAAAGGAAAGAAAAATACTAAGAATTAGTTAAGAATCACAGAAGCACCATAAACAACATATAATTAATTTGGGTTGTGGTGTGAGGGTATGCTTGCTGATTGGATCGAACTTATTCAAGTTAGAAATCAGTCTCGTGTGTGTGTATACACACCAGCCATATACCAGAACGGTAAACTGTTTGTGCAGGCACAGATCTATCTCTTTCTGTAAAAACAGCTCTAAATACTTGCATTTTAAGTTGAATGCAGTCTTTGATCACTTTCACAATGCAAATGTGTCTTTTTTTCCCCTAAAAATCCTTTAATTCAAAAGCAGATATTTTTCACCAGGATAATGAAAACATAACCAAAGATCAGCATTGGGTAAATAAGAGACTGTTCAACAAGAAAGATGTTGTAATTTCACTGGATACAAAAAATTACTTCCACTCTTACAATTACCCACTAAAAGAAAAATAATATGTAAGACCTGCATGACTAAGTTGTGTGTAGTCTGCATATGAAAAACATTTATTAAAGCAAACCTATATACACATTTCACAATCAGCTCTCGTGGGAGATTCCAAAGAAAGCAAACCTGTCCTTTGCCATTTAGAATGTTATAGCAAAGCAGAGGCATGAAACAGTCAAAAGTAAACCACGCTTCTAAAAAGTGTTGGGGGAATTTTAATACAATAAATCATCATCAAAACCAATCTTTCCCTGTATTCTGTACCGATCAACAGGTGGAGGACACACTAATTAGGACAAGTTGAAAACTCTAAAAACATGTGGAAATACGAGGGTTAGGAATTAGGCAGGAATGAATTGAGGTACAAAATACAGCCTAGCAAGTATTTTCAGTCCAGCACATACTTGTATTTTATTCTAAAAATCTGCCACAGTGGAAAAATCAAGGTTTTTTCAGCTGACAACAGTAATTTTTTTTTAACAGAAACTTAGTAATCCAAAAGGACAAGTAACAGCAACATCAAAGTCTGTGTCCTGGATATGCTGAGTCCAAATACACTTCATGGCAAATTAAAAAAATAAAAAGTAGGAAAAGACCACACAACTATATAAAACCAACAATAAGAAAGTACCTAACAGGATTAAGGTTGCTCTCAAATCCTGCCTTGTGGCTCTTACCCTACACCATGGACAACCATGCCTTGAACACTTTGATACAACAGCATGCAAGTGCTACCAACCAAACCCACCCATCCACTGCATATGCGCTTGCTTCTGCATCACACTCCGCACCAAAACCACAACCATTTTCCCTGACTTGTTTCACCAGAGAACCGTATAAACAGCCGCGACAGGAGAGTAAAGACAAGATTTTAATACTGTCTAATACTGTTTGCAGAAAAGTTGCATCTGCATTGTTTGCATGTGGAAGAGGGAGATAATGACCATACTTCAGTGTCAAACCACTGCTGCATATATCCATAAAAATACAGCATCCATTCCATGACAACTTTCTTTTTTATATATTCCATTCATTTTTGTAATTACACTGACATTTACATGGCATCCCGAAGAAGTTTCCAAAAGGTGCTTTTGGCCTGGAGCCAACATCCAGCACCAACTGACCTCCATCAGTGCACAGCAGAACAAAGCCTCTGCTGTCCTACTTAGGCTCTTTAGTCCACAAAGCTCCCATTTGCTGCTAAGGTTTCATTAGCCACATTACTTATGTTCCTGAACATTTAACCAGAGAAGATGGCTTTCAAAATATCTTGTTCACACAAAAAAGGACTCTACTGGTCAAAATTCATACTCGTCTTTGCTACTCATATGAAATGGGAACGCAAAAAAGTGAGTACATTTGACATGCTATTCTCCCCTCACGCTTTAAGTATTTCATCTCTGACTAAGTGCCAAAAATTCTTCCTTTGCTCAATTCCTCTTCATCTCATTATAGAAACAGTATGCTCTGTGCAAAGACAGCTTTGTAGGTTTATCCCATAGCTCCTCAAGGGAAGAATTTGTTCCCTGCCTATATGAGGAAAACGAATGGAACATACACAGAACAACATGAATAGAGTAAATGCCATGTAAGAGAAATAATTAAAACCCATTACCTATCCTCACCACTCTGCAGACCTTTACATTACTCCAGCTCCTCCACCATTACTGACATCCATGAAACTACGCATGGATGCATTAACGATCTCCTAGATAAGGAATGGAAATTCTAGTTCAGTGGACCGTTAATCCACTACACTAGAATTTTATAAAAAGTAGCAGTTTATTCCCACTCTTTTGAAAAGTGAGACAGCTTCACAACATCAGTTTGTTCACTGCCATTATTTTGGTCAACAATTATATTATGCACTATCTTAAAATGAAGCATACAGTATGAAGGGTAAAATAGTAATATTTTCCAGAAGTACCAAAGCATTTTTTGAAAAATGGCTTATGAATGACCAAAATTGGATGACTTAAAATCTACAGACGATTTGTAGATTTGCATTCAAAATAAACCCACCCTAATAAACTCTCACATTAACAGTGACTCCTTGGATTAACGTGGGCATACTGACGATGTCTCTGAAGTTGTCTGTAAGTAGTATACGTACAGTAGAACAGAGCTCTCAATTAACAGATAAAGAAAATATATTAAGCAAACATATAAGCTTCATGTTTTTTTAAATTCTCTACAATCAACAAACCGGTAAATGAAAGTCTGCAGTCACAAAAATCACCTTACACAGCTCAATAATGACACTGAGAGAAACAGACAAAGGCCACATCAATGAATAAGCAGAAAAGAATGGCCTTTTTAGAAATTTACACAAATTACTCATGTTCCTTTCAGTTTCTCTCCAGAAGCATCCACATTTGAGCTCTGGGCCTCCATCAAGCAAAAAGTCTCCTTTCCATCCAGGAACAAACACAAGCAGAAAAATCTTCCACACTGCTACAAAGAAATCAAATCAGTGCACAGAAATACAAGCCAAGCCAAGAAATATCTTTAATGAGAAAAAAAAAAAAAAAGGCACAAAAATCAGGCAATACTGTACAAAGGACAAAATGGACCAAATAGTTGCAATACAATTTAAGCCTGGAATTTCAAAATAAATGTATTAGTGTGCTAATCTGGCTGGGTCCTTTGTAAAAATGTGAAAACTGCATTAACTAAAGATCAGAAAAAAGCACATCCTACAATATCTGGCTATCTACTACCTTGATAGTGAAGTATGTTCTCAACAATATTCCAAGACAAATATGTACTTTTGTTTGTCTAGTAACTCCCCACACCCTTTAGCAGCTGAGCAGGCAATTCCTCCAAAAAAACTTCATTAAAACTGGAGCTGACTATTATTAAACTGTTTCATGTCAGCTAATGGATGGTGGCCCTAAGTAGCAACTGCCCACTCAAAAGCTGGAATGTAGTTCCAAGTCTCTACATTATAAACAAACAAATCTGACACTTCACAATGGTCGTAGTAGGTCAGTACAAACTACTCCAAAAGAAACGTTACCTCGCTAAATTGTACTTCCACATTATTTACTGGAACCACATAGCAGTCCTACAAATACTTCAGATACGCAGTTCTAAACTCATCAGAGGTTTTTGCAGATACCAAGAAGCTTTACAGTAATAGCAGCTGATGCATCCATCAAGCAAGGAGCCAAGCTGAACCACATCTCCACCAAAGCCAGAACAGCCCTTCCTGAGTTAAACTCAAGATCTGCTCCCCCCTCTTACAAACACCATTCAATCAAGCCTCAAGAACCAACAAGAAGAAAAACATGACGGATCTCTTCAGAGAGATAAGGAGTAGAGAGAATGCTACAGCATAAATACCAAACCTTCAGTATCTTTACAGCTATCAATAGGTAGTCCAGACACTGGGTTAGGTGGGAGTTTCAAATAAAAGGCATTAAACTGGATTGGGATTTTTAAAGGGTTAAAGCTCCCAGCTTTCAACAACTTTGAAAAGCATTTCAACTTCCATTAAAAGCTACGATTGTGGTATCAAATTCAGTAAAGTAACTTCCATTTTACTAAATGATTCCTCTACTATAAACTCCAGTTTACTGCATCAACGCTGAAATGCTGATTAGTCTCCACTTCACTGAGCTCCATTTTGATGATCTCCAGACAACACAGTTGAAAGCCTTAAGACTCACAGAATCACATCAACTTACAAGTTTAAGCAACTTATCTCAACTGATTACTATAATTAATTAAATCTGCAACATCTTTAAAATGGGTTATTTATTAATACATTTTATTTGAAATCATGACACTTCGTATTAATTATGCTACCATCATTTTATTCTCTTTTGACTCAACCATAAATCATTATTTCCATCCTTTCACTGCAGCACAATTTTAGTCTGCACTTCCCCAAGTGATCTTCTTTGCAGTTTTGAAGCACTGGCACAAGATTAGGGGTTTTTTTCCCCAATTCTTTGTTCTTATCTCTTTAGGAAAAGCAACAAATTACTTAACCACACAACTGCATCCAACTGAGAAAATGTGCCTATCTAACCCAACATGGATCACAGCAGTTCTTGTTCACTCAATTAAAGCCCATGACAGTTTCTCAAATAAACCTGAAATACAGATTTAAATGGTAGGTTAAATTTTGCACCATGTCCTTCCTTCCTGCATCTGCAGTACTGCAGAAGACAAACACTCAAAATATTTAACACCTTGAATAACGTTACAAGCCATTATAAAGTGATATATTCACTTTACATACTAAGATTTTATCAAACTCTTCTCCTGACATATCTGAAGTGTTTCTATGAAACATTATGCAGCTTGCTTTTTTTCCCTGGGTTTTTTTTTTCCTCTAAATGAAAATCAAGGTCTTGAATTAAGTTCAAATTATTCAACAATTTACATTAATAAGATGACTGCAGGTAAATTAATTAAAAAAAAAAACTGTAGTGTTTGTGCAAAGAACTACTTGATGTGCTACACTAAAAATTATGGGAACCATTATCAAACATAACTATATTAATTAGAAGTTACTAGTTTAGCATAGTA